CTGCCAGTGAGGTGGGTAGGGATGGGGTGCAGGATCTGGGAGGGAGGTGGAGTGCAGAATGAGGAAAGGTTGCAAGGTCTGGGTGGAAGGTAGGGTGCAGAAGCAGGCTGGGAGTAGGGCATCTGGCCAGGGGTAGGGAGCAGGAGCGGACCAGGGGTATGATGTCTGGCCAGGAGTAGGATGTAGGAGAGTGCTTGGGGTAGGGTGTCTGGCCAGGAGGGAGGGTGCAGGGGATGTCTGGCCAGGGCAGGGAGTGCCTGGAGATAAAGCTGGGGGACAGAGTTGTTCAGGGGGATTCAGCGAAAAGAGGAAGTGGGGTGCCCCTGGGGGAGGAGGCAGGGAACCTGGGCATGGTGCAGTGAGGTGGGGGTGGGCAGGTGGGTGACACTGCGGTGTCCAGCTCTGCAGGGGATGCAAAGCCCTGAAGGTCCCCGAGCCCCCACCTATGTGGGCTCCTCAGCTGCAGTGCCGCCTCCTCCCACTGTCACTGGGCATGGCACAGCCAAACCTGCTGTCTGGGAAGAGGGAGGGTGCTGACTGCTCACGCACCATAAGAGCCCACCCCACCATCCCCGCACAGCCCAACCTGCTGCCTGCTCCACGGGAGCAACCAAAGAAAGTGCCACTGTTACTATGTTGACTGCGAGCTTGGCATGGCCTAGGCAAGGCAGACACCCAGCCACAGGCGGGACTTTCCCATGGAGGGGGTGAGGGGGTGCTCCTCCACCTGTAGCTCTGCATCTAGTGCCAGAAAGGAATGAGTTTACTTTCTTCACATCTCCTCCCCCCCTCACCCCCCATGCACCCTCCAAGCCAGAGCTAGTGCTGCAGCCTCATGGCTGCGCACCAACCACGAGGCTCCAGTGGCAGCAGGGGCGTTGAGCATGAGCCACGGAGCACCTGGGAGGCGGCCATGGACCACTAGTGGTTCACGGACCGCACTTTGAGAACCATTGCATTAGAGAGTAGGGTCATTTAGGGAACTCCTTCTGTTGCAATTTATTGCTGCCAGAGTCAGATGAACTTTACTCAGTATTAGGATGATGCTTTGCCATTAAAATCTCAACATTTACCTCCTTAGGCCCGGCAGTAATTTAAACGAGAAGATATTGTGGTTTTTATTGTGGAGCGGTGAATGAGTTGTTAACATTGTTTTCTGTACAGGGCATATTGTTAGTCCCCACTGCTCCAAAAATGGAAACTTTAGCTATTTTGAATTTAAGTAAGTGACATTTCTATTTAAAAATAAATTCTACCTATATTATTAACATGCCTCAAGGGTTCCTTGCAAGGCAGTATGATGTATCTATGGCATCAGACTGGGACTCAGGAATAGGGCTAAGTGAAAAACTATTTTTCTTTATTGTGCAAATATTTCTAAAACAGGAAAAGATTGTCTACATTTTCTGCAGAAATTATAACAAACTAAAATAAAAAATAAAAAATAGACTTTCAGTCAAAAGGTTTTTATTTCTGGGAATTTTGTTTTAGACCAACTCTCCCCTGCAAAAAAAATTCCCCATGGGTAGCAGATATTTAGTTTAAGCAAAATTTCACTTTCTAATTGAAAACCAGTTTCAGGATCTATTTCCTAACTTTGCCACTTTGTCTATAGCCCTCCTATATGACCATATACAACTCCCTTAATCTCTCTGTTTCAGTGCTGTACTACAACACAGAGGCAGAGACTGCATTACCTCTCCCACCATTTATATATTTTTTGTCTATGAAGTTTGCAAGCACTTCAGCACAGAGGCTGTCTCACACTAGGAGTATGTACATATCCTAGAACAATGAGGCTACAGTATCTACTGGGGCCTTTACATGATATTGTAATATTAAATAATTAGAATTCATAAAGTAGTATTTATAGTGTTTTAATTTAAGCAGCTTTACACAGCTGCTTATGCATCAATACCGAGCTGAACCAGTATCTCATTATGTCTGATTTTAAAAGTGAATGGAAACTATTTATTTGGCAACATTACAATTATAATTTGTAGAATATATTTAACATGTTCAAAGAGATTTACTCTCCTCTCTGTGCCTTCGCATTAATAAGCGCGTGACCCGCACAGCGAAGAACAGATTCTCACAATACTTCAGCATTAGTTAATACATTTCTGAATGCTTCCAAAGCCCATTGGCTCAAGAGCAGCAATCGCTTCCAGATTTTCTATTCATTAGTTGTGTTCATATTATGTCCTTATCTACTATACACAGACTCTAACCTCTAACACTGATAATTGAAATGTAAACACATCCTCAGTGACCTATACCAAATCCTGACCATGTATTAGATATTTGATTGAAAGCAACATCATTTATTTATATGGTCTGAGCCTGTAGGACTTGTTTGTTTAATGTTGATCAAAAAACCCCTCTGTACAGGGTATTTCAGTACTATACTCTTTCTACCATCAAAGTATTCTGACTTTCTTTGATAACCATTCCCTGTTACGTTCCTCAGACAAGTAGAAGCAGTTTTAGAAAACACTTGTAAAAACACACAATTCTGTGTCACATAGATAGGGGTGGGGAAGATAAAAAGATACAGCAGCAGCAGGCAACAAACAGAACAGGCTTGAGGCCTACACTATCTGGCTACATCTAGGATTACGCTGCACCAGGATAAAGCGGTATGTGTGAAGCAGATTAGTTCCGTCAGCAGTAGAACATTTGAGCTTACACTACCAAAGACGTGCAGTAAAAAAACGGTATTCAAGGACAAAATCTGTTCCCTTCTTAAAAGTCAGAGAAAGAGCTCAAAAAATACTGCATGTATCAGCTGTTAACATTTCTGGGACTACAAACAAGCAGGCTCTGTCACAGCAGACTAAATATAGCGCAGCCTGTGTTGTCTTAATGCTGTGTGTACCATCTAAATTACTTGACACAAAGTTGATTTTTCCCCTTGAATGATGCTATGACTCAGAGAAAAGCCTCAGTTTAGGGGATGTTAGAAGATGGAGGCCTGAATCCAAATTCACAGATTAAAGGGTTCTGCTTCCCAGAGTTATAGACCTTTTTTCTTTCCCAGAGTATCCAAATTATGGACAGCAATATAAGGCAAAAATACATCAGGAAGAAATAAAATATTTCATGTTTTAAAGCCTGAGGAACCTAGAAGCACTACAGTAGGGAATATGTACTTTAGAAATGGTAGTTTAATACACAGACTTAGAAACATACCTGATATTATGAATGTTATTATTTCTTTCTGCCTTTACCTCTCATAGCAGGCTTGTTTGCATCTATCTTAATAAGGTCACACCAAATTACATTTAACGGAAAGTTATAAAGTCTTTTCTGGACTGAAATACAATTTTTGGAATTTTTCTAACTATGAAGTTCAGTTTAATCATAAAGGACCCAAAAAAGACTAAGTATCTTTATATGAAATATTTATATTCCTAAGCACATACCTTGTTAATTTTTCTATCAGAAGCAGAGATGCACTCAACTACTAACCACATCATACCATTATTATTTTAACCTGAAAATGTTACATTATTTTTCTCTATTGGAGGTAATATGCTCAGATGACATAATAGAAAATACAAAATTATGTCAAATATACATTTAGGTTATCAAACAAAGCTTTAATGATGTATGCCTAGTTAGCTAGGTATGTGGGGAAAAGGGGATTTGCTTCAGTTATTCAAATGCTAAATACTTAGCTATGCACTCACTACATTCAGCATCTTAACTTCCCATCAAATGGCACTATGTGATGTATTGAAATCAGAACAGATGTTGATGCAAAAAGCTTTCCCTCAGTTATATAACTGCATTTTTTTTACTGGGATCTTTGCATCCAAGATAAAGGATGCCTTTTTAAAATTGTTACTCCTCAGAATATATTGTAAATAGAGCCACCTATTTAATTATGCACCATCTCAGTTTTCCTCCATTGCATGCTGTCCTATTTATGGTCTTTTCTTACCTTTATTTTCAGATTCTTTCATTCT